TACCCTATATTCCCCAGGGTAACGCTAAAAAGCTGCCTATTGTCACTAAAGGTGAGCAACCTTCCTCTAGAACCTCCCAGAAATTTTAAATGTCTAATGAAAAATGACTATCGGAGTTAGAATAAACTGTCACTTTTAGTTGCACTGATAATATCCACTTCAGCAGAAGCTGTGTCTAAACCAGGAAGCCTAACAATGCTGCAACTTCCTCCTCAAGGGTCACTTTATTGTTACAAANAAAGTATATGACATTGGTGTCCCTTCACCCCTGCCATGTTTCTTTCTACAACTACCCTATATTCCCCAGGGTAACGCTAAAAAGCTGCCTATTGTCACTAAAGGTGAGCAACCTTCCTCTAGAACCTCCCAGAAATTTTAAATGTCTAATGAAAAATGACTATCGGAGTTAGAATAAACTGTCACTTTTAGTTGCACTGATAATATCCACTTCAGCAGAAGCTGTGTCTAAACCAGGAAGCCTAACAATGCTGCAACTTCCTCCTCAAGGGTCACTTTATTGTAACAAATAAGAATTTTTGATCAAAAAGGTAAAAATGTCAGCTCAGGAAGTGACTCCTCCTGATTCCCAAAATAATCTCTCCGTTCTCTGAACACATTTTTGATGCCTCTCTTAGGATACTTTCCCATTTTTTAGCTTGTATGGTAGTTATTTATGTCTATGTCTGACCTGCCAATGTATGAAACTGTAAAAACACTGAGGGCAGGGACACCCACTGACTCATCTTTGGATCTCTTAAAGTGCCTGCTGAGAATGGTCATTTCCACAGAGGAGGCAGCTGATCTGTATTTAATGAAGGAATCCAACTAAATACTTTTATTCGTTTTCCAGAGAGAAGTGGAGAAGAAAGAGTACCCAGGATGGGGAAGGTCGCATCCCTGCTGCAGGCAAGTGTTTTCTCTACCTCCCATGGGTGGCGGGAGTAGCAAAAGGGGACACTTTAAGAGGGGAGGAGACTCAGCCTTGAACCGCTCACAGCCCTGTGACTCTAGTGAAAATGCTGGAACTCTTTCCCTTTGCTCCTAAAAGGGATTGAGGTGAAGAACCATAGTTCCATCTCATCACATTGTCTTATAGTCACCATTCCGGAAGGTTTAGGCTCTAATCTTAAAATGACTTAAGATCTTCATTTTAAAATGGCTTAAAGTTTGTATAGGCCCAGCATGGTAATTCAGCATCATCTCACATGCTGACCCTATCAAAAGTAGCATTCCAAAAGCACTGTGTTTAGAAGGACTCTGAGTCCCTACGTGGGCTCAGGGGGAAAGACAGTGTTGACTTAAGAGTGATACCTGGCATGAGGTGGGGGGGGGGAGTAGCAGCAAATGAGCTAAGATGTGTCATCCCTGATCTAGTCCAATACCTTCACTTCCCAGGAAGAAAATGAGAACAGAAGCTCACGTCTTAAGCTTACTACGTGCCAGGCACTATTCAGATTGCTTTCACACGCACGTATTTAATCCTTGGCTAGTCTTAAGGAGTTAACATTATGATGATTCCCATTTTGCAGATGTTTAGGGAAGCAAGTTCTGCCTGGAGTTCACACTCTGGAAATCCTTATCTTTAAGCACTTCCCTAGACTGCCTCCTAATCTGTGGACACTTACTATGTACTGGGCTAATGGTACTCAGCCAGGAGCAATTTTGCCCTCCAGGGCACATCTGGCAATATCCTGAGACTTTTTGGTCATGGGAAGGAGAAGGTGTTCCTTGAATCCAGTGGGCCGAGGCCAGAGAATAGCGCCCAGAACAAGGATGTATGTGGCCCAAAATGTCAGTAGAGCTGAGACTGAGAGGACTCTGAGTTAGGCCATGTGAAAGTCACTTTCATACTGACCATACAACTCTTCCTATAGCCCAGTAAGTACAATTACTGTCTGCATTTTACAGACCAGGAGAAGTGCTCTCAGGACCAGGAAGATCACAAGACAGGAGCCCAGGTAGTCAGGGTTTAGAGGCCTCTGGACTTCCCCCTCCATAAAACTCCATTTTCATCAGCTTCTTTTACTATCAAAACATGTAAACTCTTTGAGCCCATGCTTATGTATGGATTTCAGAAGCTAAGAACATTCAGCCAACTGTGAAAAATTTCCACGGCGGTGGGTGTCTCTTCAAAGATAAAAAAAGTATTTGTTCACTAGTTCAAAGAAGAGGGTCTTTAGATGTCCTTACCATGGAACCATTGATCTCGCTGGAGCAGACATGCAGGTCCTTGCTTTAAAATAAAACTCTGAGGAGAAAACCGATTCTGGGACATTAACAAGCTTTTTCAAGAATAATTAGCTCTGCATGGGATTCAACTATTTTCCTTTTGTTGTTAAGAGCTGGTGAGCCTGGAAGCTTATTTAGGAGAAGAGGAAATGAAACTATGAACAGACAGTATGATTCCTTTTTCTAGGAGGTAAGGGACACTCTGAATAGGAATTACTTTCTCATCCTGTCCAATGAACTGCCTCAAATACAAATAGAAAAAAATGTATACATTTTTCTCTCTCTCTCTATATATATGCAAACACTTGGTTAGCTGGGAGTAATTGAAGAAGCTAAGAACCCAATGCTAGTTTCAACCGTAAAGCCCTATGCAAATAACTTCCTTCAGGACCTAAGGCTTGTCTCCTGCAAAGAAAACACTACTGTAACTGAGGGAGGCTGGGACGTAGAGAGAGGGAAGTAAAAAGAGAGAAATAAAATAGCTTGAGGGAAGAGGGGGAGGAAAACCCGAGCCTCTC